CCTGACTCGGAGAACACAAACTTGTCCTACTTGCATCACTGGATTGTCTGGTCTTGCCTGGAGAACACAAACCTGTCCTACTTGGTATCTTCATGCAACCACTGCCCTGATTTGGAGAACACAAACTTGTCCTACTTGCATCACTGGATTGTCTGGTCTTGTTTCCACACGGGTATCTTCATGCAACCACTGCCATGACCCGGAGAACACAAACCTGTCCTACTTGCATCACTGGATTGTCTGGTCTTGTTTCCACACGGGTATCTTCATGCAACCACTGCCATGACCACGGATTGACACAAACTTGTCCTACTTGCATCACTGGATTGTCTGGTCTTGTTTCCACACAGGTATCTTCATGCAACCACTGCCATGACTCGGAGAACACAAACCTGTCCTACTTGCATCACTGGATTGTCTGGTCTTGTTTCCACACAATCATCTTCATGCAACCACTACCATGACTCGGAGAACACAAACTTGTCCTACTTGCATCACTGGATTGTCTGGTCTTGTTTCCACACAGGTATCTTCATGCAACCACTGCCATGACTCGGAGAACACAAACCTGTCCTACTTGCATCACTGGATTGTCTGGTCTTGTTTCCACACAGTCATCTTCATGCAACCACTACCATGACTCAGAGAACACAAACTTGTCCTACTTGCATCACTGGATTGTCTGGTCTTGTTTCCACACAGGTATCTTCATGCAACCACTGCCATGACTCGGAGAACACAAACCTGTCCTACTTGCATCACTGGATTGTCTGGTCTTGTTTCCACACAGGTATCTTCATGCAACCACTGCCATGACTCGGAGAACACAAACCTGTCCTACTTGCATCACTGGATTGTCTGGTCTTGTTTCCACACAGGTATCTTCATGCAACCACTGCCCTGACTCGGAGTACACAAACTTGTCCTGCTTGCATCACTGGATTGTCTGGTCTTGTTTCCACACAGGTATCTTCATGCAACCACTGCCCTAACCACTGCCATGGAGAACACAAACTTGTCCTACTTGCATCACTGGATTGTCTGGTCCTGTTTCCACTGCTTCATGCAGCCACTGCCCTGACTCGGAGAACACAAACTTGTCCTACTTGCATCACTGGATTGTCTGGTCCTGTTTCCACACAGGTATCTTCATGCAGCCACTGCCCTGACTCGGAGAACACAAACTTGTCCTACTTGCATCACTGGATTGTCTGGTCTTGTTTCCACACAGGTATCTTCATGCAACCACTGCCATGACTCGGAGAACACAAACTTGTCCTACTTGCATCACTGGATTGTCTGGTCTTGTTTCCACACAGGTATCTTCATGCAACCACTGCCATGGCTCGGAGAACACAAACTTGTCCTACTTGCATCACTGGATTGTCTGGTCTTGTTTCCACACAGTCATCTTCATGCAACCACTGCCATGACTCGGAGAACACAAACTTGTCCTGCTTGCATCACTGGATTGTCTGGTCTTGACTCGATTATTTGCAGCCCATCGTCATCTAAGAAACAAACAAATAAATCCGACTTGCAGTTCCCGGAATGAGAATATACCGTAGTTGTAGGTCCACCACTTTCTAGCTTACAAGACCCAGGAGAGCCTGTGTTCCGCATGAGCTGATAACAATTGCCTGAGTACATGTGAAATATGTCGGACATACTTGATGATATATTGTTAAACAAGCAGTTGAGGTGTTGTGTCAAGGTCGTGTCACTTCCTGTGGTTAAGATAAGGGGTCCTCACAGGCCACAATGATGAAGAAGAAACAATTCGTGGATGGATAACTGACTTTCATGGGGAGTTGACACGTCTCCTCATAGAAGACATTACAATTGCAACGATTAAATGTTTGATTGAATGCTCATATCATGTGAATGGGGTATTTCCTAGATGTTTCATGCATTGAATAAGCTTTACTCTGGATCCAGTTGTTTGGGTATTTTTGAATAAATGAGTAGAAAGTTTTAGAATACTTAAGTTTAAAGTGTTGTTGATAAGTTTTATTTCATGTCTCAAAAGCTCACAACAACGCTAAGTGCTTTTGAATTTCTGCATGTGAGCCATGCTGCTCTGTTGTTCTGCTGCATGGCCTAGGAACTTCCACAGAGACAGCGATACCTTTGTCAGGTCCAACAGTAAATGTGCTAAACACCATTGTCAACAGCTACATGCTGAGTCAACAGGGCAGCATACATGCCGGCTGCATGTCACACAGTGTTTGCCCCTGCCCTCTAAACTTGATGCCACCAGAGATGTTTAAACATCTCCACACAACACAGACCCCAAGATGAATATTCTGTTGATTTTCGCCGTTCCTTATATGATTAAAATCTGTCAGCTTCTGCTGCATTGACACTGTTACAGCCTCTATTTTAATGTCTAAGTTGGATGTTATGTTCAGTAGGCGGCAGATTTTGTCATTGGCAAAACATCAGATGTTTATTTGCATGAATCCACAATGCCCTGTTAAATATTTCAAACTGAGTTTTGAAGCTTAAGATAAAATAACAAACTGCTAAGTCACTAGATTGCCAGGCATTTATTGGCAACTTGAATTGTCCTTAGGGTCGTGTTGCCCGAGCAGCCTTGTTGCGAAAGTATCACCTGTGGTTGATTATATACAGGCTATAGCAGGTGAGTAGTGTGAACTGGAGTTTGGTGGACATACTAGGGTGAGGGTTGGAGAAGGAGTATATTAGGGGTAGTGGTGGAGCATGTGGCGTGAGTGGAATATGTAGGGTCAGTGGTTGGTGGGGGCTAAGAAGTGGGCGTGTTGGAGTGGGTTGGTGAGTGAGTGTTGGGGTAGGGTTTGGTGAGTGAGTGTTGGGGTAGGGTTTGGTGAGTGAGTGTTGGGGTAGGGTTAGGTGAGTGAGTGTTGGGGTAGGGTTTGGTGAGTGAGTGTTGGGGTAGGGTTTGGTGAGTGAGTGTTGGGGTAGGGTTTGGTGAGTGAGTGTTGGGGTAGGGTAGGGTTTGGTGAGTAAGTGTTGGGGTAGGGTAGGGTTTGGTGAGTGAGTGTTGGGGTAGGGTTTGGTGAGTGAGTGTTGGGGTAGGGTAGGGTTTGGTAAGTGAGTGTTGGGGTAGGGTAGGGTTTGGTGAGTGAGTGTTGGGATAGGGTTTGGTGAGTGAGTGTTGGGGTAGGGTAGGGTTTGGTGAGTGAGTGTTGGGGTAGGGTAGGGTTTGGTGAGTAAGTGTTGGGGTAGGGTAGGGTTTGGTGAGTGAGTGTTGGGGTAGGGTAGGGTTTGGTGAGTAAGTGTTGGGGTAGGGTTTGGTGAGTAAGTGTTGGGGTAGGGTAGGGTTTGGTGAGTGAGTGTTAGGGTAGGGTAGGGTTTGGTGAGAGTAAGTGTTGGGGTAGGGTTTGGTGAGTGAGAGTGTTGGGGTAGGGTGTGAGTGTGTGTTGGTGTGTTGGACTTAGTGAGTAGGAGTGTTGGGGTAGGGAGGAAATGTGGGTGGGGGTGAAGTGCAGGGATTGGTTAGTGAGTGTGTGGGTAGGAATTAGAAGTGTTGTGGTCAGTGAGTGAGAGAGTGTTGGGGGTGTTGGGGTAGGGGGCCTTGTGGATGTGTTGGGGTTAGTGAGTGAGAGTGTTGGGGTAGGGTGGGCGTGTGTGTGGGTGGTGCAGTGTTGGGGTAAGGTGTGTGTTGGGGTAGGACTGGGCGTGTAGGATTAGGGGTTGGGTGAGTGGCGTGTCAGTGTAGGGTTGGGTGAGTGGTATGGTTGTACTTGTAGGGGTGGGTGAGTGAGAGTGGGGGTATGGGTGGGTGAGTGAGTGGGGGGGTTAGTGAAAGTGTGGGGGTAGGGGTTAGTGAGTGGGGGTGGGTGAGTATGGGGGTTAGTGAGTGAGAGTGTGGGTGTAGGGGTGGATGAGAGGGGGTAGTGGTGGCTGAGTGTAGTTAGGTAAAAGTGAAGGGTTGTCACAGCTTTATATGTTACTGTCATATGTGTTAATTTAATGAGGGTTGGGGCAGGTAAGTATGCTTTGGTCAACTCTTCCCATGTCCCAGTAAAGGAGGATGTTGGGCTGGGTCCCACGCTAGTATAAATATACCTGGGGTGGGACTTTCTGTAGATTAGCATGCTTTCTCATATGTCAAAGTTTCTGACACCCAAATAGGAGAGTGTAGTTCGAAAGCTGATATAATTATGTCAGTATGTTGACATGTTAAACTGAAAACTAGGATGCAGTAAATCATGCATGATTAAACCCTTTAAGTTAATGGTTTCTAAGCTTGTACCTTGCCTCTGTATTACCTATTGTGTTGTTACATGCAGGGATTATGTGGCTGTGTGCTGGTGATCCTTTCACTGTTTCCTGGTTTGGATCTTGTGATGTTTCTGTGACATGCTGATTGTTCGGGTACTCATTCAAAGGAAGTGATATCACATGACAATATCTTGTGACCATGAATCTTTGTTTGAGATCAGAAAACAATCATCCGATGCAGTGTTTAAAGTCCCTGTGTTGTACCCAACTTGATAACCATGAGATAACCATATTGAGCCTGTGAGTCAATATGAAAAATAATTCCCACTGATGTCCTCATATCACACTGTCTGCTTTTGTAACCAACTTGATAACCATGAGATAACCATGTTGAACCTGTGAGTCAATATGAAAAATAATTCCCGCTGATGTCCTCATATCACACTGTCTGCTTTTGGAAAAATCTTGCTTATAATATGTCTGATCTCATAGCTTATCTTTCTTTTTATTAACTTTATCCAAATGTATATTCTGTATTGTCTACACAAATTGTAAATTACCTATTGCATGTTTCATCCCAAAGTTGTGTTGAGAAAACTACCCCTCAACAGCATCCTGCCATTCAGGTCCTGCCTTGATCACTGAACTTGATTATTTACAGACCATCGCAATAGATCTGGAATATTGCTGTGTACAGCGGTAGACAAGAAACAAAGTTTGTGATCTATGAGTTCTTCTCTAGTCTGTTGGAGGAGATTATCCAGCAACTAATTTTAGCGCTTTGGTTTCAGCTCCCTCGAGGCTCGGCACAGGCTGTGATGGGAAACCTTTTACGTATTCTTCTCAACAATGAACCTCCTGCCAAAGCACAGGACATCTTCGTGGACTTTGAGAGTGAGTACTCACATCCTACCTATCTTAGACAAGGACAGTCAACTGTCAACCTCGTTGTCAACCTCAGACATTGTTCCTGTGGTGTAGCTGTGTTGTTCCTGTGGTGTAGCTGTGGTGCATCTGTGTTGTTCCTGTGGTGTGGTGTAGCTGTGTTGTTCCTGTGGTGTAGCTGTGTTTTTCCTGTGGTGTTCCTGTGGTGTATTAGTTTGTTCCTGTGATGTATTAGTACTGTTCCTGTGGTATAGTTGTGGTGTTCCTGTTTTGTACCTGTGGTATATGAGTGGTGTTCCTGTGGTGTATCTGTGGTATATTAGTGGTGTTCCTGTGGTGTATCTGTGGTATATTAGTGGTGTTCCTGTGGTGTATCTGTGGTATAGTAGTGGTGTTCCTGTGGTGTATCTGTGGTGTAGTAGTGGTGTTCCTGTGGTGTATCTGTGGTATATTAGTGGTGTTCCTGTGGTGTATCTGTGGTATAGTAGTGGTGTTCCTGTGGTGTATTAGTACTGTTCCTGTGGTATATTAGTGGTGTATCTGTGGTATATTAGTGGTGTTCCTGTGGTGTATCTGTGGTATAGTAGTGGTGTTCCTGTGGTGTACCTGTGGTGTATTAGTTTGTTCCTGTTGTGTATTAGTACTGTTCCTGTGGTATATTAGTGGTGTTCCTGTGGTGTAGCTGTGGTATATTAGTGGTGTATCTGTGGTATAGTAGTGGTGTTCCTGTGGTGTACCTGTTGTGTATTAGTTTGTTCCTGTGATGTATTAGTACTGTTCCTGTGGTATATTAGTACTGTTCCTGTGGTGTAGCTGGGGTATATTAGTGGTGTTCCTGTGGTATATTAGTTTGTTCCTGTTGTGTATTAGTACTGTTCCTGTGGTATATTAGTGGTGTTCCTGTGATGTAGCTGTGGTGTTCCTGTGGTGTATTAGTGGTGTTCCTGTGGTGTAGCTGTGGTGTTCCTGTGGTATATTAGTGGTGTTCCTGTGGTGTAGCTGTGGTGTTCCTGTGGTATATTAGTTTGTTCCTGTTGTGTATTAGTACTGTTCCTGTGGTATAGTAGTGGTGTTCCTGTGGTGTAGCTGTGGTATATTAGTGGTGTTCCTGTGGTGTTACTGTGGTGTATTAGTTTGTTCCTGTGGTGTATTAGTTTGTTCCTGTTGTGTATTAGTACTGTTCCTGTGGTATAGTAGTGGTGTTCCTGTTTTGTAGCTGTGGTGTATCTGTGGTATATTAGTGGTGTTCCTGTGGTGTAGCTGTGGTGTTCCTGTGGTATATTAGTTTGTTCCTGTTGTGTATTAGTACTGTTCCTGTGGTATAGTAGTGGTGTTCCTGTTTTGTAGCTGTGGTGTATCTGTGGTATATTAGTGGTGTTCCTGTGGTGTAGCTCTGGTGTTACTGTGGTGTATTAGTTTGTTCCTGTTGTGTATTAGTACTGTTCCTGTGGTATAGTAGTGGTGTTCCTGTGGTGTAGCTGTGGTATATTAGTGGTGTTCCTGTGGTGTTACTGTGGTGTATTAGTTTGTTCCTGTTGTGTATTAGTACTGTTCCTGTGGTGTAGTAGTGGTGTTCCTGTGGTGTAGCTGTGGTGTTTCTGTGGTATATTAGTAGTGTAGCGGTGGTGTATCTGTGGTTTAGTAGTGGTGTTCCTGTGATGTAGCTGTGGTGTTCCTGTGATGTAGCTGTGGTATATTAGTGGTGTTCCTGTGGTGTATTAGTACTGTTCCTGTGGTATAGTTGTGGTGTTCCTGTTTTGTATCTGTGTTATATTAGTGGTGTTCCTGTTTTGTATCTGTGTTATATTAGTGGTGTTCCTGTTGTGTAGCTGTGGTGTTCCTGTTGTGTAGCTGTGGTGTTCCTGTTGTGTAGCTGTGGTGTTCCTGTGCTGTATTAGTACTGTTCCTGGTGGCGGTGGGTAGCCTAGTGGTTAAAGCGTTGGCTCATCACGCTGAAGACCCGGGTTCAAATCCCCACATGGTTACAATGTGTGAAGCCCATTTCTGGTGTCCCCAGCCCTGATGTTGCTGAAATATTGCTAAAAGCAGCGTGAAACCAAACTCAGTCAGTCAGTCAGTACTGTTCCTGTGGCATAGCTGTGTTGTTCCTGTTGTGTGCGATTGTATTTATATTTTCCTCTGACCTGTACCCTCAGACACAGAGCCGACACCCCAGGAGCGACCTGTGTACAGCATGGTTGATGCCGTCCTCAAAGTGTCCCATGAGATCACCAAGGAGTTACGGAAATACACAGGAGCCACAGAAGAAATAAGACAGGTACGTAGGGAATGAATATCTTCTCCTGGACAACCCTGGTACTGTAGGGAATGAATACCTTCTCCTGGACAACCCTGGTACGTAGGGAATGAATATCTTCTCCTGGACAACCCTGGTACGTAGGGAATGAATATCTTCTCCTGGACAACCCTGGTATGTAGGGAATTAATATCTTCTCCTGGACAACCCTGGTACGTAGGGAATGAATATCTTCTCCTGGACAACCCTGGTGCATCGTGAGGGAAATGAATATCTTCTCCTGGACAACCCTGGTGCGTGGGGAATGGGGTAATGAATACCTTCTCCTGGACAACCCTGGTGCGTATGTAGGGAATGAATATCTTCTCCTGGACAACCCTGGTGCGTAGGGAATGAATATCTTCTCCTGGACAACCCTGGTATGTAGGGAATGAATATCTTCTCCTGGGGAATGAATGAATGAATATCTTCTCCTGGACAACCCTGGTGCGTGAGGGAAATGAATATCTTCTCCTGGACAACCCTGGTGAGGGATGAATCCTTCTCCTGGACAACCCTGGTGCGTGTAGGAATTAATATCTTCTCCTGGACAACCCTGAGTGCGTGGGAATGAATATCTTCTCCTGGACAACCCTGGTGCGTAGGGAATGAATATCTTCTCCTGGACAACCCTGGTGCGTGTAGGGAATGAATATCTTCTCCTGGACAACCCTGGTATGTGGGAATGAATACCTTCTCCTGGACAACCCCCTGGTGCATTAGGGAATGAATACCTTCTCCTGGACAACCCTGGTAATGAGGGAATGAATACCTTCTCCTGGACAACCCTGGTATCGTAGGGAATGAATATCTTCTCCTGGACAACCCTGGGAATGAATACCTTCTCCTGGACAACTAGTGCTGGTACATAGGGAATGAATACCTTCTCCTGGACAACCCTGGTGCGTGAGGGAATTAATATCTTCTCCTGGACAACCCTGGAGTGCGTAGGGGAATTGATATCATCTCCTTGACAACCCTGGTACGTAGGGAATGAATATCTTCTCTGGACAACCCTGGTGCATGAGGGAATTAATATCTTCTCCTGGACAACCCTGGTGCGTAGGGAATGAATACCTTCTCCTGGACAACCCTGGTGCGTGGGGAATGAATACCTTCTCCTGGACAACCCACAGGTGCATTAGGGAATGAATACCTTCTCCTGGACAACCCTGGTGCGTGGGGAATGAATACCTTCTCCTGGACAACCCTGGTACATAGGGAATGAATACCTTCTCCTGGACAACCCTGGTGCATGTAGGGAATGAATATCTTCTCCTGGACAACCCTGGTACATGTAGGGAATGAATATCTTCTCCTGGACAACCCTGGTACGTAGGGAATGAATATCTTCTCCTGGACAACCCTGGTATGTAGGGAATGAATATCTTCTCCTGGACAACCCTGGTACGTAGGGAATGAATACCTTCTCCTGGACAACCCTGGTACGTAGGGAATGAATACCTTCTCCTGGACAACCCTGGTATGTAGGGAATGAATACCTTCTCCTGGACAACCCTGGTACGTAGGGAATGAATACCTTCTCCTGGACAACCCTGGTACGTGGGAATGAATCCTGGACCTTCTCCTGGACAGCCCTGTGCGTGAGGGAATGAATACCTTCTCCTGGACAACCCTGGTGCATAGGGAATGAATACCTTCTCCTGGACAACCCTGGTGCGTAGGGAATGAATAAGCTTCTCCTGGACAACCCTGAGTGCGTGAGGGAATGAATACCTTCTCCTGGACAACCCTGGTATGCATTAGGGAATGAATACCTTCTCCTGGACAACCCCTGGTATGTAGGGAATGAATACCTTCTCCTGGACAACCCTGGTGCAGTAGGGAATGAATATCTTCTCCTGGACAACCCTGGTGCGTAGGGAATGAATACCTTCTCCTGGACAACAACCCTGAGTGCGTGGGGAATGAATACCTTCTCCTGGACAACCCTGGTATGTAGGGAATGAATAACTTCTCCTGGACAACCCTGGTATGTAGGGAATGAATACCTTCTCCTGGACAACCCTGGTGCACGTGAGGAATGAATACCTTCTCCCTGGACAACCCTAGTGCATCTCCTGGAATGAATAAGCCTTCTCCTGGGACAACCCCTGGTATGTAGGGAATGAATACCTTCTCCTGGACAACCCTGGTATGTAGGGAATGAATACCTTCTCCTGGACAACCCTGGTACGTAGGGAATGAATACCTTCTCCTGGACAACCCTGGTACTGTAGGGAATGAATAACTTCTCCTGGACAACCCTGGTATGTAGGGAATGAATACCTTCTCCTGGACAACCCTGGTATGTAGGGAATGAATACCTTCTCCTGGACAACCCTGGTACGTAGGGAATGAATACCTTCTCCTGGACAACCCTGGTACGTAGGGAATGAATACCTTCTCCTGGACAACCCTGGTGCGTTCTCCTGGAGGGAATGAATAGCTTCTCCTGGACAACCCTGGTGCGTAGGGAATGAATACCTTCTCCTGGACAACCCTGGTACGTAGGGAATGAATACCTTCTCCTGGACAACCCTGGTACGTAGGGAATGAATACCTTCTCCTGGACAACCCTGGTACGTAGGGAATGAATACCTTCTCCTGGACAACCCTGGTATGCGTAGGGAATGAATACCTTCTCCTGGACAACCCTGGTACGTAGGGAATGAATACCTTCTCCTGGACAACCCTGGTATGTAGGGAATGAATATCTTCTCCTGGACAACCCTGGTACGTAGGGAATGAATAGCTTCAGAGAGTCTCGTTGGGGGAAGTGATGATAGACTGTCTGGATGGGGGAAGTAATGGTAGACTGTGTCTGGATGGGGGTAGTGATGGTAGACTGTGTCTGGATGGGGGAAGTGATGGTAGACTGTCTGGATGGGGTTAGTGACGGTAGAGACTGTGTCTGGATGGGGGTAGTGATGGTAGACTGTGTCTGGATGAGGGTAGTGATGGTAGACTGTGTCTGGATGGGGGTAGTGATGGTAGACTGTGTCTGGATCGGGGGTGGTAGTGATGGTAGACTGTGTCTGGATGGGGAGTAGTAATGATGGACTGTGTCTTGATGGGGAAAGTGATGGTAGACTGTGTCTTGATGGGGGTAGTGATGGTAGACTGTGTCTGGATGGGGAAGTGATGGTAGACTGTGTCTGGATGGGGAAGTGATGGTAGACTGTGTCTGGATGAGGGTAGTGATGGTAGACTGTGTCTCGATGGGGGGTAGTGATGGTAGACTGTCTCTATGGGGGAGTAGTGATGGTAGACTGTGTCTGGATGGGGTAGTGATGGTAGACTGTGTCTCTGATGGGAAAGTGATGGTAGACTGTGTCTGTCTGGATGGGGAAGTGATGGTAGACTGTGTCTGGATGGGGTGAGTAGATGGTAGACTGTGTCTGGATGGGGTAGTGATGGTAGACTGTGTCTGGATGGGGAAGTGATGGTAGACTGTGTCTGGATGGGGGTAGTGATGGTAGACTGTGTCTGGATGGGGGAAGTGATGGTAGACTGTGTCTGGATGGGGGTAGTGATGGTAGACTGTGTCTGGATGGGGAGTAGTGATGGTAGACTGTGTCTGGATGGGGGAAGTGATGGTAGACTGTGTCTGGATGGGGGTAGTGATGGTAGACTGTGTCTGGATGGGGGTAGTGATGGTAGACTGTGTCTGGATGGGGGTAGTGTGATGGTAGACTGTGTCTGGATGGGGAAGTGATGGTAGACTGTGTCTTGATGGGGAAGTGATGGTATAGACTGTCTGGATGGGGAGTAGTGATGGTAGAGCTGTCTGGATGGGAGTAGTGTCTGGATGGGGAGAGACTGTGTCTGGACTAGTGATGGTAGACTGTGTCTGGATGGGGGCCAAGTGATGGTAGACTGTCTGGATGGGGGTAAGTGATGGTAGACTGTCTCTGGATGGGGGTAGTGATGATAGACTGTCTCTGGATGGGGTAGTGATGGTAGACTGTGTCTGGATAGGAAGTGATGGTAGACTGTGTCTGGATGGGGAAGTGATGGTAGACTGTGTCTGGATGGGGGTAGTGTGAGTAGACTGTGTCTGGATGGGGAAGTGATGATAGACTGTCTTGATGGGGGTAGTGATGGTAGTCTGTGTCTGGATGGGGGTAGTGATCAGGTCTGGATGGGGACTGTCTGGATGGGGAAGTGATGGTAGACTGTGTCTGGATGGGGAAGTGATGATTAGACTGTGTCTGGATGGGGGTAGTGATGGTGGAGATGTGTGTCTGGATGGGGAAGTGATGATAGACTGTCTTGATGGGGGTAGTGATGGTAGACTGTGTCTGGATGGGGGTAGTGGCCGGTACACCGTGTCTGGATGGGGAAGTGATGGTAGACTGTGTCTGGATGGGGGTAGTGTCGGTAGACTGTGTCTGGATGGGGGTAGTAATGGTAGACTGTGTCTGGATGGGGGTAGTGATGGTAGGCGTTGTCTGGGCAGGGGGTAGTGATGGTAGACTGCCTTGTGCTGTTGTTAGTGGCAGTTAAATGGGTTTGCTCCCACCATTGTCAGGACATTGCCATCCAACATTGCACCACTGTTGTAGTGACGTGATGGATGATTCAGGGTAGGTGACTCCATGGTCCTGGCACTGTAGTCTGGTATTGTGTAACACCCACACCTTTGTTTGCAGTATCTCCTGGAGGTTTTTCTCAACTGTTATTTTATCTTTAACTCTACATTGTGCAGTACATCTGGCCAAGTATGCATTGTGGACATATAAAGTTGTGTTAAGGAGGTATAGTACAACTGTTGTATACCATGTTGATATTTCCCAACTGGAGGATATGGCTTTCAGCAGTCATTTCTTGTGGTTCTGTAATGAGTTTCCAAGCTCTGATATATATTCTGTGTTATTCTGAGTAAAGCTCCAGGATGGCCTAGTGATGTGAGCCTACACATGGCGTGTTCTATTTGAGTTCTTCCTGTAGGAACAGTGTGGAAGGAGACACACTTTAGG